CATTTTCGATGAGGCATAATGAACTCCTCGAAGCTGGACTCTAATTTAATTGTCTTCTACTTAATTGAGAAGAAAGAAGCCAGTTCCAAGGTTCTGACTGAAGGTGTTTTTATTGAAACACAGACAGTTCTTATTTGTAACTCTGTAGGTGACAGAAAAACTGCTTCTGGTTAAGCTGTCTCACTCTCTTTCATTCAACACAGTCTTTATTTTGTGCCTCATGGAGTCTAGATTTTTTTTCTCAAAACTGATTAACTCCTTTCAAGAAATGGAACCACCATTCACCAAGTTTCAGACCAAAAAGGAGGGAGTCAACCTTAATTTCTTGAACCCCAAAGCCTCATCAGTGAATCCATCAGCAGACCACATCAGTTCCACTAAAGCTATTTCTCACCACCCCGGAGATACCCCCTGATATGGTTTGACTGTGTCCCTACCCTCATCTCATCTTGAATCTTAGCTCCCATAATCCCCATGTGTTATGGGAGGGACCCAGTGGAAGATAACTGAATCATGGGGTTGGGTCTTTCACATGCTGTTCTCTTGACAGAGAGCAAGTCTCACAAGATCTGATGGTTTTATAAAAGGCAGTTCCTCTGCACATGCTCTCCTGTTTACTGCCATGTAAGACATGCCTTTGCTCCGCTTTTGCCTTCTGCCGTGATTGTGAGACCTCCCCAGACATGTAGATCTATGAGTCCATTAAACCTCTTTTTCTTTATAAATTACCCAGTCTCAGTTATGTTTTTATTAGTAGCATGAGAACAGACTAATACACCACCCTTGGTTCAAGCTATTACTCACCCTAATACCTACCAAGACTTGCTGATGTTCTCCTTGCTTCTACTCTTTACTCCTCCAAAGTTCTTTGTCCATCCAGCAGCCTAAGAATAGAAAATCAAAATCAGATAATATCACTTGAATTATCTATTGCTGCAGAACAAATTACTCCAAAATTTTGCAGCTTTAGACAAAAAAACTTAGTATCTCACATAATTTCTGAGAATCAGGACCTTGAGAGCAGCTTAGTTGGGGGGTTCTGATTTCAGGTCTCTCCTGAGGTTGCAGTCAAAATGTTCGCTGAAGCCGCAATCATTTGAAGGCTCGAGGCAGGAAAATCCACTTCCAAGGTGGCTCACTCACATGACTGTTGGCAGGAGGCCTGAGCTCCTTGCCAAACAAACCCCTTCTAAAGCTGCTTGAATGTCTTCATGGAACAGCAGCTGTCTTCTTCCAGAGTGAATGAACTGAGAGAGAACAAGATAGATGCCAAACATCTTTTACAGTCTAACCTCCAAAATCACTTGCTGCTATTTCCACAGTAGTCTGTTAGTTACTGGTTAGTCTTATTCAATGTGGGAGAGTATGAATAATAGGAAGCAACGATCACTGGGGTCCACCTTGGACACTGGCTATCAAATGACTCCTTTGCTAAAACCCTCCAATGGCTTCTTACTGAAATTGGAATAAAATTTCAACTCATTGCTAAGATTTAACAAGCCTGGTATAATCTGACCTCCACTTACCCCCCACCCCCATATTCACTAAGCTCCAGCTAGTGTGACCTTCTTTCTGGACCTCAAGCATAGTCCTCCCTCCTCAGGGTCTTCTCACTTGTAGTTCCCTCTGTCTGGAATGTTATTCTTCCAGAATTTCACATGGCTGATTCTCTGTCTTTCAGGTCTAGAGGCAAATGTCACCTCCTGAGAAGCCTGCCCACCAACTCTATCTATAGGAGTCACCCTCCCTTTTCCATTTCCCATACTGAGGATTTGATAAGGAAATTAATAACATGTCATATAATGTAATAACATATAATAACTACATGTCAAATTTGGTTGAAAGCTTATCTCTTACTAACAATTTAATTGGAATGTATATTTTTTGAGACAGGGTTTCACTCCCATTGCCCAGGCTGGAGTGCAATGGCACAATCTTGGCTCATTACAACCTCCAACTGCTGGGATCAAGTGATTCTCCTGCCTCAGCCTACTGAGCAGCTGGTCACCATGTTCCACAGGTTGGTCTTGAACTCCTGAGCTCAAGTGATCTGCCCACCTCAGCCTCTCAAACTTCTGGGATTACAACCATGAGCCACCACACCTGGTCTGGAATGTGTTCCTTTAGGTAGAGATCAGATGCTTGGATAACCTCCCCAGTACCTACCTATCACTTACTGTGCCCAACAATGCATCAAGTACTATGCTAAGCACTTCATAAAGTGCCTCTCAGGCAATTCTCATGACAGAAATCTCTATAAATAGAAAGTCCTACAGCCACTTCACAAATTAAGAAACTGAGGCTTACCTAGAATTCCACACCAACTAAATGACATAAGCTGGAATTCAAACCCTGCTTTAACTGCAATGTCTATACTCTTAACACTGCATACTACCTTTTAAATATTTTTTAACTTTCATTTTAGGCTCAAGGGTACATGTGCAGGTTTGTTATATAGGTAAATTGCATCACAGGGGCTTGGTGTACAAGTTATTTCATCATCTAGGTAATAACCATAGTACTTGATGAGTAGTTTTTTTATCCTTACCCTCCTCCCACCCTCCATGCTCAAGTAGGCCTCAGTGTCTGTTGTTCCTTCTTTGTGTCTGTATATACTCAACGTTTAGCTCCCACTTATAAGTAAGAACATACAGTATTTGAATTTCTATTCCTGTGTTAATTTGCTTAGGATAGTGACCTCCAATTCCATCCATGTTGCTGCAAAGGACATGATCTCATTCTTTTTATGGCTGCATAGTATTCCATGGTATATATGAACAGCATTTTCTTTATCCAGTCCACCTTGATGGGCATTTAGGTTGATTCCATGTCATCGCTCTTGTGAACAGTGCTGCAATGAACATATGCATGCATGTGTCTTCAGGACAAAACAATTTATATCCCCTGGATATATACCCAAAAATAAGATTGCTGGGTCGAATAGTAGCTATGGTTTTAAAAATTGCCAAGCTGCTTTCCACATTGGCTAAACTAATTTACATTCCTACCAGCACATGCTATGTTCTTTAATGTTTGCAAGGGCACTGTAAGTAGACTATAAAAAATCCATTGCATTTATTTAAATAACTTAATATTAGTATATGAGTTTTTCTTATCTTAACAAACAACATTTATTGAACTTCTGCTATGCAGTAGTTGCTATGGGGGTCCTGAAAAGCATGATACCATTCCAGGCCTCCAGAAGCTTGTAATTATATAGTGGCTTGAGAGGCTAAACAAAACCAAGTAATTTCCCCAATACTGTATTTAAAGGAGAGAGAACATCACTGAGATGGGTAGATCAGGGTGGGGAAGGGCATTTAAGGTCAGAAAGGAAATAGAGTCTAAATCAAGCTTTCAAGAATAAGCAGGACTTAAAGCAGCAGAAGGAAGTAAGGCACTTACAGAAGGGCACTTGGATAACCTCCCCAGTACCTACCTATCACTTACTGTGCCCAACAAGGTATTGTAAGCAGAGGAAATGGCACCTGTAAAGGTGAGGCAGAAAAGTCAGAAAATAGTGAGATGGCCAGTTTGAATGAAACTGAAACCATTGGATGAATGCAATGGTATAAAAGCATAAAACATAAAAAGAAAATGGTGTATGAGGTAATTAACTGACTTACATGGAAAGTGTCAATAAATATTTGTTGAGTGAAGAAATGAGACATGATAAGAACTAGTTATGTTTCCAAGGAAATACAACTGGATAATTATCCAGTACCCTATCTGCCTGCTCTTAAGTAACCTAAATATAAAATTGAGACAATTGAGCAGCAGTCATATGTTTTCAATCAACCATGTGCTTTGGATCATATAAATAAGGTATGATCCTTTCGAATTTTAGAATTTTCTTTTAGGTCCTTTAGAATTTTCTTTTTTAGCATAATTCAAGAGAACTAAATCCCTCCTACATGTTCAGAACTATGAAGAGAGTCTAACAGAGCTGGATTCTAAAGTTAGCTCAGCCATTTACTGGTTGAATGACCTAATCAAGGTAAATAGCTTTTCGAAGCTCACTTGTAAAATACAGACAATAGCCCCACTTTTATAGGCGTCTATGGGAATTACTTTAGATAATATCCATATTTTATAGGCACTCAAATGTTAGATTTATCTCCCTAACCTTGACCTTACATTCTATAAGGTAGATAGTCAGATTGAGATAGGAGGGAAGGAAAGGAATGGGCATAGCAGGTGGTCACAACCTCATGAACAGCATTATGGTAGCATCAATTATTTTGGTAACCCAAAGTACCAGAATAGCCTCCTTTCCTGGGCTCTGCTCCACACCCATATTCTTTTTTTTTTTTTTTTTTTTTTTTTTCAGATGGAATCTCACTCTGTCACCCAGGCTGGAATGCAGTGGTATAATCTTGGCTCACTGCAACCTCTGCCCATCCCCCAGGGTTCAAGTGATTCTCCCACCTTATCCTCCCAAGTAGCTGGGATTACAGGTGCATGCCACTGTGATTGGCTAATTTTTGTATTTTTAGTAGAGACAGGGTTTCACCATGTTGGCCAGGCTGATCTTGAACTCCTAATCTCAAATGATCCACCCACTTTGGTCTCCCACAGTGCTGGGATTACAAGTGTGAGCCACTGTGCCTGGCCCCTATTCTAATCATGTTACAGATCCCACCTTCCTGGGCAGAATTATTGTGTGTGGAACTTACCCTAAACTAAGTTAGGCCCAATCACTTTACCACTACCATCATATCAGAGACACAAAACAGGCCAATCAAAGCTATTCCTTGGAATTTTTGAACTTGAAACTACGGAGATTGATAGAGTTTCACTTTCTCTCTGCTGATAGCCCCTCTCCTATGGAGGTAGTTCTGCAATAAAGAAAGTCTAAACTTTCACGTCTAGGTAGCAGCAAAGACTGAGAGAGACCATCTGAGAAGCATTTTGGATCCTAGTTCCATCTGTGCCAGGGATCCAACTACCCCTGCCTCGCTCATGTGTAATCTCATAAACTTCCCCTTCTGCCTAAACAGATTTGAGTTGGATTTTTGTCACTGGAAACCTAAAGCGCCAAACACCAGAATGAAGAAAGAAGTAAGTTCGTCATGTTTGAAGAGCAATGAAAAGACCAACTTCTCTGGAATAACAGATTTATTTTAAGGAATTGTGAGATCAGAACTGATTTAGGAGGGGTGTGAATGGCAGGCAATGGGGAGTTACTGAGGCTTTTGAGCATGAAAACAACATGGTGACAGCAGTCACTTAGAATGAGGAAGGGGAGGCAATCTATGATGAATAACAGAAGGTAGAGCTGGAAGCAGGAAGACCATTTGGGAGGTTGTTGGCATGGAACAGAGTAGATTCCATTGCATCAAACTTCAGTAAGTAATGGAGAGTCGGGGGGCTTCACCTTGTGGGCACAGGAGCACTGAAACACACTTCCAGGGCCTGCAGCGTTCCACTTGACAATGGCTTCATTAGGGAAAAGCTCTAACCACAGTCACTCCAATAACTAGATGTGTAATTAACTTGCTTTCCCACCCCATCCCCCCAAGGGATGGCAGTAAGGAGAGCTGAAAATACAAGGGCTTAATATCATAGTCAACATTTTTATGGATCTGTCTTTCTCCAATGGGGGCCACACTGACAGCCTGGCTACATGAGGCTTAATTTGACGATCCCAACAATCCATTGTTAATGATGTGCCATCATTGTGATTTGCATTTGGTAAGTGCAATTTTTTGGCTGTTTGCTCTCCCCTTGCTTCCTCCTCTGGGTTCCTGGACCCCTGTGTTCTTTGGCGGGCAAGTTTCCTTTTCAACATCACAAACACCATCTCTGCTATTGGGACACAACAGTTAAATAATGTGAAATTGCACTGATGCCAGTGAAATAAAAGTGAGTTTTACAAAACCGAGTTCCTTCCCTGAACATAATAACAGTAAATTTCTAGGGTCCTATAGTGTAATATCCATTAGATTTATTATGTTGCAATTCCCAGTCCCACTAGTTCTGCCTGAGGGTGAGTATATTACATTTCATCACAGTTTCATTTTCTCCTACAGATGAGAAATGGGAATGCGATTGCAGTTATGTAGCATGCATGTGTTAAATCTGATCTCTAATAAAATCAAACACATCACAACTCAAAGCACTTTAGCACAGTGTCGGCAAAATGAAACACCATCTGTCATCATGTAGAGATTGCCTTATTATAAAACAAAATCAAACTGCTCAGTGTGAACATTGTTACTTAATAAATGGGTAAATGAAAACTGATAATTATGATCTTATTTATTTTAAATGATTACTTAAAGCCACCAAAAGCGCAACATAATTTGTCAATTAGACACTCTGGACCTCATAACAGTGTATAGAGCAAACACCCCTCAGTAAAAATGGTAAATAGACTTCAAAAGAAACAAAGAGGAGGGATTAAGAGGAACTTTTGAACTGCCAGAAGTGCAGATGAGGAAGAGAGCTCGAGGCTTGAGAAATCATGGTCAGTTCTGATTCAGTGTGTGCAGCTTTGACACCAGAATTACCCAATATTTTCACTTGGAAAGAAGTCAACAGTTTCCAATGTGCTGGAAGATGCAGCGACAGGCTGGAGGCACCAAGGAAAGCGGGTAGCACATGAGGTACACCTCAAACCGGGACATTGCTTCAAACTATTAGGGGCAGGTTTTTGACTTGATTTTAATCTTTCATTTAAACAGAACACCATTCATCTACAGTTAGTCATTTCTGAAAACGGATGTTAAAGTAGATAGAAAATACACTATTTTGGAGAGAGGAGTGCAAAAATTGAAGCAAAGATAAAGGCAGTGACTATTGTAAATTCACCATAAGATGGAGGAGGGCTTTGCTCTGTCCTGGAAAGACCATAGAAAAATATTGCATTGCATGAAACTTCAATAAACAACGGAGTGTGAGGAGGCTTCACCTTGTTGGCACATGAGCACTGAAAGATACCTCCAGGACCTTCAGCATTCCGCTTGACAATGGCTTCATTAGGTAAGAGCACTATCCACAGTCACACCAATAACTAGATGTACAATTAACTTGCTTTCCCACCCCATCCTCCCAAGGGATGGCAACAAAATGGAAAAAAACATAAAAATCAGCGTTCCCCAACTTTTTTTTTTTCCTGAGATGGAGTTTCACTCCTGTTGCCCAGGCTGGAGTGCAATGGTGCAACCTTAGCTCGCTGCAACCTCTGCCTCCTAGGTTCAAGTGATTCTCCTGCCTCAGCCTCCCGAGTAGCTGGGATTACGGAAGACTGCCACTACTCCCAGCTAATTTTTGTGTTTTTAGTAGAGACAAGGTTTTGCCATGTTGGCCAAGCTGGTCTTGAACTCCTGACGATGCGCCTCGGCCTCCCAAAGTGCTGGGATTACAAGAGTGAGCCACCACGCCTGGCTGGTCCCCAACCATTTTGACATCAGGGACCGGTTTTATGAAAGACAATTTTTCTACATACCAGAGAGGATCAGGGGAGATGGTTTCAGGATGATTCAAGTGCATTATATTTATTGTGTACTTTTCTATTATTACATTGCAATATATAATGAAATAATGATATGACTCACCATACAGTAGAATCAGTGGGAGCCCTGAGCTTGTTTTCCTGCAACTAGGCATCCCATCTGGGAGTGGTGGAAGATAGGGACAGATCATCAAGCATTAGATTCTTATAAGGAGGACACGACTTAGATCCCTCACATGTTCACAATAGGCTTCATGCTTCTATGAGAATCTAATGCCACTACTGATCTGACAGGAGGCAGAAGAGCAGAGGCAGGTGGGAATGTGAGTGATGGGGAATGGCTCAGATGAAGCTTCACTCACCTACCACTCACCTCCTGCTTTGTGGTTCAATACCTGTCCATGGCCCAGGAGTTCAGGACTACTGATCTAAATGACCCACTGAGGTTGTAGATGCAGGGTAATGTCTCTTGCTAATGCTTTTACCTTTAATTATCTGCTCTCATGAAATCACAATTTTTCCTGTGATCCTACAAGATGTGTCAAGAGTTTTTCAGCTGAAAAAGCTATAAAGATGCTTCCTCTCTTCCTTCTAAGCATTTAATGTGTTACTACACAGGGATTAACAATCCTAGACTCTTCTTTTGTCATGATACCCAATTTTTCGGTCTTGCAAACACTGCATATGCTCTTAGCCCCCAAGAAACTAATGGAAGAGTTTACAGATTTTTCCTAGGTGTCCCAGACGTCCCCTAAGATTTGGATATCATATATTAAATGCAGACAAATAAACTGAGTCTAAAAAAACATAGTATACTATCATCTTCCTACGTGACTCCTTCAACACCTTAAAGGGTGCTTTGGTGGAGGGGTTGTCCTCATCTCAAATGATTTAGTTATCCAATTTCAAGAACACTTTATTACAAGGCAGTTTCACCTGTAATATTCAATTTAATTAGGTAAATATTTTTGGAGCTCTTTCTATATTTAAATCAGTGAAGTGATTTAAATAAATAGGCAGTTTGTGTTTGCATGTAATTTGCAATCTAGTTACAGAAAGAAAACTTGTAACAAGGATTAAAATTTGTGGTAATAAAGGAAAAGTTAGAGTAAAAGAAAAACCATTTTAGTAGGAGTTTCAAGATGGAAAGAGCATATCCAGTTGGGGTGATGGAGGGGAGCATCTCAGGTGGTCTTTGAAGGACTTGAAGAGGTAAAGGTGATGAGACAGGATAGGTATAGCAGGCAGAATTCCAAGAAAACCCTGGAGTAAAATTAAAGAATTTGCCGGTCTTTGTCCTGGGTTTTAGGCTTAGAGTTCTTAAAACCCTTGGAATTTCCAGAGTAAGGGTATTTCTTAGCTGTGCTAATGAGGTGACTCATTGCCAGCCCCTACATAGCTTCGGGACGGGGGCTGGTCACCCGAAAGCCCAATTATATCATTAGAGGGTTGGAATCTTGGACCTCCAGGGGGAAGAGATGAACTTGAGGTTGAGTTCCATTACATGCCTAGTGACTTATGTAATCAATCATGATCTCATAATGGAACTCCAGTAAAAACTCTGGACACCAAGGATTGATGGAACTTTGTGGTTGGTGACCATTTGAATGTGCCTGGAGATTGACAAACCTTTGACTCCATGAGGAAAAGGGTGTGGAAGTTCTATACTCCCTACAGCCCTCACTCAACACATGCTTTATAATAAAACTATAATCATAAGTATTGCTTTTCTGAGTTCTATGTCATTCTAGTGAATTATCAAACTTGAGAAAGTTATAAGAACCCCCAAACTTATAACCAGTCAATCAGAAGGGTGGCCTTTGATCTCACTTAGAGCTGACATCTGAAGTGAGGTCAGTCCTATGGAGGACTTTGTCCTCAACCTGCAGAGATTATCCTCAGTAGGCCTGACCAAGTCGGGTGATCTGTTAAAAGAGGTAGAGCTCTTCCTGGCAAGACAGCTGGAAGTATTAGAAGGATTCAACAGAAGAAACATTATTCATTACTAGCTTTGAATACTGAGTGGGCCATATGGCAAGGAATATGGCAGCCTCTAGGAGAGCAGAGCCATGGCTGACAGCTAGCAAGGAAATGGGGACCTTAGTCCTGCAACCTCAAGAGATTGAATTCTGCCGCAACCATGTGAACTTGGGAGAGGACCTTCAGGTCAAGATGAGAGCCAGCATGACACTTTGACAAGCGTTCATTTCAAGCTTGTGAAACTCTGAAAACCAAGCCATGCTACACCCAGACTTCTGAGCTACAGAGCTAGGAGCTAATAAATAGGGTTTTCTTTAAGCCATTAAGTTTGTGGTAATTTGTTTCACAGCAGTAGAAAACTGATAAAGAGGACCTCGTGATGAATGTCATGAACCATATCGTCATCCTGCGTGGCCATACTTTTTGTGCACCCAGCTTCTCAGGTTATCTAGGAGCTTCCACATCTCCGCCTGCATCACTCCAATGCTCTGATCATCATGGGAGCAGCCATTTTGGACATGTGACCTGCCCCTGGACACAGCTGATTGGTTCAGAAGTGAGACCTGGGTGGACCAATTAGAACCCTTCTCTGGAACTCTTAGACTTGAGACCCAAGAGGGTATCTTAAATAAGATGCAAAATTCAAGCACTAGCAGTGACCATGTGTCCTACCATATAGGAGAACCTCCTACTGTGAGTGAAAAAAAATGAAATCAGCAAACAAAGAGAAACCAGGACAAGAAATGTTGCAGCCATATTTGAGCCCCTGATTCCAGTTGTTTCGTAGGGCCAAGCACAATCTACCTGTAGGTTCTGAGAGACACACAACTATGTTTTATAATACATTCCCTTTTTGCTAAAGCCAAATCAAGTTGGGTTTCTGTTTACTGTAGTAAAAACAGTCCTAATTATACAATCATAGTAGTTAAAATGCATGGTCTTCACACCTGTAATCTCAGCACTTTGAGAGACTGAGGTGGGTGGATTACCTGAGGTCAGGAGTTCGAGACCAGCCTGGCCGACATGGTGAAACCCCGTCTCTACTAAAAATACAAAAAAAATTAACTGAGCATGTGGCATGTGCCAGTAATCCCAGATACTTGGGAGGCTGTAGCACGAGAATTGCTTGAAACGAGGAGGCAGAGGTTATAGTCAGCTGAGATCACACCACTGCGCTCCAGCCTAAAAGACAGGGCAATACTCTGTCAAAAAAAAAGCGTGGCCTCTGATTTCTGTTAGGCCTAACTTCTGCCTATTCTGGGGTACTGTTCCTCCTCCAGGGAATTCTTTCATGAGTACTCCACGGATAGTACACCAGACTTCCTAGACACTAATTTAAACAAGGCCTTTACTTTTGTCTTTTAGATGTTTCCACAGGATGCCAATATTGATTCAGTTAATTGATTCAGCAAACGACCTGTTAATTAGGTTAAAAAGTGAGAATTTAGCCAAAGCTGATTTATCAAACTGGCATGGCAGATAAACTTCCACATGTGGCTGAAAGAAAAAATTGCCTGAGTTAGGACACATCCATGGTCTCCTAGGCTGCAAAGTGGAGGAACATCAGCATTCCAGGGATTGTTCTTTCTCCACATTTCCCTGATTCATCCAAAACACTTATGCAGCCACTTCTCCTGGACTCTCCAGTAAGTGGGGGCATTCGCCAGCATCCCCATTTCCTACACGGTTATGTCTTCCAAAGCCCAGAAGAAGTTCGAGACAATTTTAGAGAGTCAAAGAAAGCACTGGGTATTTTGAGGAAACTTGGCGTTGTAAGCCTTCTATCATTT